GTCGTTACCCTTAAATATGTCATGTGGTGCGACAGACAATCACCTTAAAATATATTCATTTATTCAGCATATCTTACATTTTTTCCACAAGTTCTTAGTAGTATAATGTATCTAGAAACTAATTGTATAGATTTATATATTTTCATACATATATAATCATCATTCCAATAAAGTAGCAACCTCCTATTTACATGTAGTTTGCATGCTTATTTTTTCTGTAGATTGCAAAAGACTGGCATTAACTTCAGCAAACCCCATCAGTGTTCAAGTTTCTGTCACAGAAAGAATGCATCACTTTTAAATTTTTCCACTGATATTCTTTTTAAGGGTCGCACCACATGACGGGGGGTCGCACCAAATGATGAATCCAGCTTAAATCTTTTAAAAATCAATAGAACGGGATAAAATGATTTGAAGAAAATATATTTCCAACATATTTTAATGAGGCCACACCGTGACATAAGTAGATTTAAAAGTGCATTGTGCAACGTTTTATGTGGAAAAAGTCTGTATTATTGCATATTTGACCTTGTAGTGCCCCAGTGGCTGTAAGAGTGGTCAGCAGGGTGCCTCAACTGGTGCAGGGATCCGTCAGCAGAGAAAATCTGACAAACAATGCATCCAAGAGACCACTGTGATGGAAAGAAAAGACACCATGTGTCATGTGCTGAGAGATGGAGGACTCAAACGCAGGAATGCAAAAATAAAGGTTTTAATAAAACAAAGTCCAAGGCATAAAAATAAACTCGAAAATCCAAAGAAACCAGAACAGGACATGAACAAGACAAGAACAAGACAATGAACCAGCAACAAGGGGAGAGAAGCACAGGGTACATATAGACACACACAGACACAGGTGAAACACATCAGGGCGGGGCAGACAATCAACAGGGAACAGGGCATGAAGCAACTGTCAAAATAAAACCGAATACAAAAATAAAATCCACACCATGACAGTACCCCCCCTCCAAGGGACAGCTCCCAGATGTCCCAAAAAGCCCAAACGCGCGCCAGGGAGGGCGGAGGGGGTCCGGCGGAGGGACCAGAGGCAGCATAGAAGCAGGGAAAGCCTCAGGTCCGAAGCAAAGTCCAAACGAGTCAGGAACAGAAGCTGAACCCCAGTGACGACCTTCCACAGGGAAACTGGCACACCCCGGGCGAAGGCGAATGCCCGGCGGTGACCCAGACACAAAACAGAACCACCCCAGACGGACATCAATGTCTGGCGGTGGCAACAGGTGAGGGGAAGGAGAGGTCATCGCAGGGCTGCAGACAGACGGGAACATCCAATGCAGGGCGTCGCCGTTTTCCTTGACGGGTCAGGAGGGAACAGGGCACCAACCCGGGCAGAGAACAAAGCCCAGCGGTGGCACAATGACAGGCACAGCAGACAACCACCCCAGACGGAGGTCAATGTCTGGCGGTGGTTCCAGGAATAAGGTGGTCAAAAGTGGAACAAAGAAAAAAAGCAAAAATAAATAAAAACCTGAGTTCTGATCAACTGAGAGCAGGTGTGGGGAAATACGCATTCTGCTGAGTCCTTTGAGTGGCTGGTTCATTCTGTCATGTGCTGAGAGATGGAGGACTCAAACGCAGGAATGCAAAAATAAAGGTTTTAATAAAACAAAGTCCAAGGCATAAAAATAAACTCGAAAATCCAAAGAAACCAGAACAGGACATGAACAAGACAAGAACAAGACAATGAACCAGCAACAAGGGGAGAGAAGCACAGGGTACATATAGACACACACAGACACAGGTGAAACACATCAGGGCGGGGCAGACAATCAACAGGGAACAGGGCATGAAGCAACTGTCAAAATAAAACCGAATACAAAAATAAAATCCACACCATGACACCATGCTGGCCACACGCTCACTACAAGATCTATTACACATGATAAGATACATCATGCACCTTCACGCCACCTTGCCATGGCGCCGTAAAGATGCCGCCGTGGCAAGAGCTCTGCTGTGTGCCGTCTGGTGTACACTAGGGTAGTCTTGCACAGTTTTTCCAATGTGGTTTTACTGCAAATAGCAAATAAATGAATCTGAATCTGAATCTGAATCTTTTGAGTTTATCTAATCTCAGTGTTGTGTGTTGATTTCAAGCTTACATTAGGCGTCCTGGTATGGGTATTTTATGACACTTTTAATTCAATAATGTTAAAACTGAGCTTGTCATTCTGCAGAAGTCAGTGATTTTCCACTTGATATTTTGGTTGTCTGAAAGTCAAAGCTAACGCATCTATTGGCGGCAGATGCTAAGAGAGGCGTCCATGTTTTTTCTTCTATATGACCATGTGCGCGCTGGGAAACCTTTTGTGTTGTTTACCAACAATAAAATGTCTTGTGCTGTGACTTGATCCCGGACCGCCTTATCTGTAATCAGTCATCTGTCATTTTCTTCACCGGCCTGAAAGTTTTGGGAACCGATGCAGGAGGCTCTAAGGACAGCGGTGATGATCCAGGACATCCAACATTCAACAAGATTTGAGGACTTTGAGGATGGATAATATGGATGCTGATTGGAGCTTCTATTGTGTAATATCGCATGCACACAGCCAACATTTCTTCCGTCTGTGACACGACCCCAGACCCCTGTGTCATGTTCTTCAAATATACAGTACAGACCAAAAGTTTGGACACGCCTTCTCATTCAAAGAGTTGCTGGATGTGAATCTACTATGTCAACACTCCTGAATGAGAAAGTGTGTCCAAACTTACTGTATATAATACTGTATATGGACGTCGGTCATCTGCCCTCTATGGACCAATGCTTTTATGGTTTTTTTTTGTTGCATTTATTGTGTTTGAACTGTTAAAATGGCGCCGTGGCAAGAGCTCTGGTGCACACTGGGGTAGTCTTGCACAGTTTTCCAATGTGGTTATACTGTAAATGCCAAATACATTCTTGAATCTTGTTTGAGTTTCTGATCTGTGTTGGTGAGTCAACGGCTTGTCCTCTGAGATAACTACCATTGTAATTTAGGGCTATGCAAAAATGAGTTGAATTGGAACCCAAGACTCAATCGAGACCTTTCTTTCCCTGGCCAGTCCACTAGCCCACCAGCCCATTCCACAGCTGCAGTCCCGGACAGCCACCCTGACCTTACTATGACGTTTGTTTATTTGCTAACAGCCTCCTCTGTCTTCAAACCGGTCCTTTGTGGAGTCCTCCCGGGGCAGGTGGACTGTGCCTGAGGCCGGCCAGCCCGCCCTTGAATACAGCCCCGCGAAACCCGAGCCGAAACCAGAGCCACAGGCAATTAGGCCCACAATACGGACGTTCTTTTGGCATCCAGCCCCTTTGTCCGCCTAAAGACTATTTAAGAGAAAATCATTCAGGGGAACTTCTGGAAAGAACTGGGCCAACTCTGTGTCTTTGCAGTGAGTGGATTGTCGTCGATGGCGGCACATATGTTTGGCTGTTGGTGGAATATGCATCCCATCCCTACATTTGTGCGACTATGATTTTCCAATGGGTGTGGTGGAAGTGTAAGATACCTCCCGAAGTTTCCTCTTTGGATATGGTGGGTAATAACTTTTCTTTGAGGAGTGAGAACGTAAGCAAGGCAACTCTAACCTTTAGAGACAATTTTAGTGTTTAAAAAAGGACACATCTCCATACTGATGCCTGATGACTAGTGATAATGTGAGTTTAAAGGTCATTGGACTATGGACTTTGCTCAAACTTTTTTAATGAAAATTTCAAATGTGCTTTTTGATTTCTTAACCCTGTTTAAACCCTCATCGATCCACGCAAATATCAGGAACTTCTAGCACAAACATGTAGCTCTGTCCCTTCTGTCTAAAAGCCCATATGTCAGTTCTGTAATACTATGTCCTTTAGTTTGGTTTGTTTCGGTCAAAATCAACTTCAATAACAGGAAACTCTTTCATAAATTCAATTCACAAATACAAGTCAACATCTGCGACCTGGAGATCCATCAGACTCTTTTGTGACATCACACCCACTGTATTATATTTGTCAATTGTGAACATTGAATGGATCCAATATCTGATAAACATGGTGTCCCTCTGTCATGGCATTGATATTACCTCATGTACCAGTCATATCGTCTGGTTCTTGCCAGTTTCTTATCTCTGTTTGTGTGACTTGGACTGACACACATTTTCATTTTAAAAACACCATTTAACTCTGTATTCTTCCTGAAAAACTGAAAATAAAACCGCCATTCAAAGACACTTAACATCATCAACGTCATTATTCATTCACTCCATACACATTGATGATAAACCACTTTTGTAGCCATAGCTGCCCTGGGGCACACTGACAGAAGTGAGGCAACTAGCATGTGCTATCGGCCCCTTTGACCACCACAAACCATTCACACACACACACAAATCCTTCTAGATAATGTGAGTGAAGTGTCTTGCCCAAACCCTGCACAGCTTCAGAGGTCTGGCTTTCACATGCAGGCGATGACCCAGTGCAGATGGTTCCGTATTTTCACCTGCGCATAAAGCAGTGGGAACGCGGTGAAAACTCTGAATGTGTCTCTTATTCTGCTCTTATTCTTATTATACAATGTCTTGTTTGGTTAACTTTTAGAAATACGTATTTATTTATTTGTATGGATTGATTGTGTTTCTGCTGCTTCTCTATCTATCTATGTACAGTATCTTTGCTGCATGTCAGATTCATGCAACTAAAATCTGGAACAATCTTCCTGAAAATGGGAGACAGGCTTCTTCAATGTTTAAATACAGGTTAATAACAGGTTTTTTTTTCCAGCATGTTGAGTTGCCTTGTGTATGAATTGTGCTTTACAAATAAACTTGCCTTGCCTTGCCATCTTTCAGTCTAAATCTCTCTCGGGACAAAGGCCTCCGCATCCTTTGTCCCGTTTCTGCAGGACCCACAAACCTCCTTCCCAGTGTGCGTCTGTAGCTGTGCACACTTCCGCCGACCGGCCCTCTCTCCGGATCTCTGGGATGAAATGTCACGTCTCCCTTCGTGTGATCCTTATCTCTTAATCGCTTCCTTTGTCTGCCGTGATGCTACGGACGGACCCTCCCCGCCCCGGGCTTTGATGTGTGGGAGCCGCTAGGGGCCGTGGAGAGGTGGGGCGGCGTGGGCTTAAGCGCTGCTCTGCTCCAGGAGCTTTGGAAGAGCGTCTGGTTGTGTGGTCTGGACTTGAGCTGAAGGCTACGGTGAGAAGACACAACTTTCTCTGCAGCTCTGCACAAGTTCGGAATGAAATTAGTCCAGTAAACGCTACACTTAGGAAATCCGTAGCCTCGTCCCTTCTGCCAAAAATCTCCTGATCAAATATCCTGGTGCACACTGGGGTCATCTTGCACAGGTTTTCCAATGTAGTTTTACTGCAAATGGCAAATACATTCTTGAATTTTGATGTTTCTTTCTCATGAATGCTTAAACTTTGATGTCATGAATGTCATTCAAATCTATAATATTGCCTCAAAATTAGGCTATTAGGCTTTTTTATCATTGTATGCCTTCATGTCATTTTCTACCCCTTTATTAACCCATATCTGGATCAGGAGGGTGGCAATCAGAGCTGCCACCGAAGTCTCATTGCACCAGTCCTCTCTTATCCTGCAGGTGGTGGGTCCACAGGAAGATGGCTTCTCTATCATTGACGAGATGGCCTTGGTCTTTCAGCGGGGGCTTCAGGCAATGTGAGGTTAAGTGTCTTGCCCAGGGACACAATGACAGCAGACATCAGTGGGAGCAGGTGACATGGATCGTGGTGGGCTCAAACCCACGACCATTGGGTCCAAAGACCAGTGCTCTACCAACTGAACCACTGTCTCCCCAAAGCAGAATGTATTATTGGAATTCTACCACTCAATAGATGCTGTTCTCTCAAGATAATTTCTGCATCCATTGTTCATATTAATAAATATTTTTCAATATCTTGAAGAAGATGACATAGTCTGGGATCGCGTCTTTAATTCAGACAGAAGACATGTTTTATTGTCGATGGTGACAGCACGAACAACAAATACAACAGAATGCAAGTGTATTATACAGAGCGGAGGCATGGAGACCTCCAATCAGCAGCTGCCACGGTGCCATGTAGCTTGGCCTTCAGATAGACAAAACAAGGGAAAAGTACTGGCTTCTGCACATTGATAGAATGATGAGTTTAACTTTAACAAAAGTTGCTTCAAAGTGTTATGAAATCTCACATTCCCCCCTCTGGTCATACATTCACGTGTGACCATCAGGATCGATAAACAGCAACATAACATCATAACTCAATACTTCAAAAACTCATAAACTCTGTACTTCACTCGGTACTTCAAAAAACTCAGAACTCGGAATACTTCAAAAACTCATAAAACTCATAAAACATTTTCAGATCTTTCATAAAACTTGTCAACAATCTTCAGTAAAATACCAAACTTCATCAGTCGATGGTGGTTCCAGATATTGCTTTGAAAACAGTCTCCCCCACTTCTCTGTGTTGGTTTCTTCAGGCTGCATTTGTGTCGAGCCATGAATTCTTCTGTGACGTGTCTTTCAATCACACGTTTCAGCTTCAGTGTCCAGATTCAGAAATCCAATTCAGTCCAAATTATGTCCAAATTCAGAAATCCAATTGTTCCAAATTATGTCCAAATTATGTAATCCAATTTTTCCAAATGGTGTCCATGCAAAAGAGGACGCTGGTATTGTCCATGTCTCAGCAGCTCACAGCCTGACTGGAATCAGGGGCTGTGCAGATAATCCATGTGTGCTGATCCAGATGCATTCTCTTGAGGTTTTTCAGCTTTGTCTTTAAAAAAAAACACTTTTTGTGTAAAAAAAAAAAAGTAGTCTTCTGTTCTGTAGATGTTACAGACAAGGCCCGCATTCTCCACCACCTGAAGAAGATGACATAGTCTGGGATCGCGTCTTTAATTCAGACAGAAGACATGTTTTATTGTCGATGGTGACAGCACGAACAACAAATACAACAGAATGCAAGTGTATTATACAGAGCGGAGGCATGGAGACCTCCAATCAGCAGCTTCCACGGTGCCATGTAGCTTGGCCTTCAGATAGACAAAACAAGGGAAAAGTACAGGCACATTGATAGAATGGGGCACATTGATAAAATGATGAGTTTAACTTTAACAAAAGTTGCTTCAAAGTGTTATGAAATCTCACAATCTACTAGAATGGCCACAGTTTCATCTGCTGACAAAACTCAATCCAAACAGATATTTCTTCTATATGTTAACACCCTTTGGCAGGCCAAAGATGGGGGCATAGGAACTCTGTCATGGTTTAGATTTGTATTTTGTACTTTGATGTTCATTCATTCATCTTCAACCCCTTCTTGGTTGGGGGGTGGGATCTAGTAGGGGAGGCCCCTCCTTTCTCCTCCGGGTCCTATGGGGGTCTGGCTCCTGGGCCTGGTGGGGGGTCTGGGGCCATCCATCCATCCATCCATTTTCTTCCCCTAAATCCATTTCTGGGTCGGGGGGTGGCAGTCAGAGCTGCACCAAGTACATAGCACCAGCCCCTCACTGATCCTTCTGCAGGTGGTCCACAGGAGCTGAGATATTTCAGTTGGGGCTTTGGGCAAAGTAGGGTTAAGTGTCTTGCCTAAGGACACAACGACAGCAGTCATCAGTGGGAGTAGTGAAGTAGGTCTTACGGTGGGCTCGAACCCACGACCTTCAGGTCCAAAGGCCAATGCTCTACCAACTGAGCTACTGTCGCCCCAAGTGCAACAAGTATGAAGGGTAAACATCTGTCACTCCTGATGCTTCCACCAGAGGGAAGAGTTGAATTTGTTCTATCTTTTTATTATATTCCATACGATCTCCAAACACACACGTGATTGTGTGTGATGGTAAAGCACGTCATATCACCGGGGAATTCCCCAACACTAATTATTGAGTAATACTTTTGTCTTAAAAGACAGACAAAACTGGTCTGAACGTGAAACTGCTTGTATTGGCAGCTGCCAGAAAGACAAGGAAAGGCAAGTTTATGTGTATAGCACAGTTCACACACAAGACCTTTCAAAGTGCGTTACAAGATAGAAACAAAATCATAAATAACCACAGTAACTTAAAAAATACTGACCTGGATTTGAACACTGTCTGAGAAGAAGCCTGTCTCACATTTTCAGGAAGACTGTTTTAGGGTTTAGCTGAAAAAATATGAAACACTGGCATCTGTTCTAGATGCCTCCTGGATGCCTCCCTGGGGAGGTGTACAATGCATGGACACGTCCCACTGGGGGGAGACCCTCGGGGAGGACCCAGGACATGCTGGAGGGACTATGTCTTTCAGCTGGCCTGGGAACGCCTTGGGACCCCTTTGGACGAGCTGGAGGGTGTCTAAGTCTGCGTGTCTCTGCTCAGACTGCTGCCCCTGTGACCCGGCAACGAAAGAAGCGGAAGTAAATTTATGGAAATTTGAAACACTGCCTCCCCATGTTAAGTCCTGACTCTGGGCACAAGCAGGATTCCAGTCCCTGTGCTCCACAAAGTCCCGGCAGGAGGTCAGTCCCTGTGCTCCTCAGAGTCTGAAACACTGAAATAGACAACATGAACTACAACATCTACGACATGAACACAGCCTATTGGTCAAACGGCACTCATCCATGTCACATGGCCCTCGTTACATGCCATATTATAACTCTCACGCCCTTTTCACCAAGCTGTGTGGACATTTCTGCAGCACGGACAGTTCCCTCTTGGGTCAAAACCAACACGCAGTCGGCGAGCGTTCTAATCCAGCCACGGATAAATCCTTCAGCAAACACGTCCGGAGCGCTGCGCTGCTGGAGGAGGCTCATTAAGATCCCCACAGGGCTCAGCATTTGTGTTCTTACAGGGAGTGAGCAGAGCCATTCCAAGAGAGAGAGAACAGCGATGGCCCCGATAGGACAGGTTTGATCCAGGTTAGATCCAGGTTTGATCATGAGATGGAAGGTGTTGAACTTTAGATTACAAGGGAAAAACTCAGAAGAAAGAGCCAATGATGCTCCTTTAAATTATTATTACTTTTTCTATTACATGCTTAAAAGTATTGCACAATAATGAGCAGAAGTAGTCCTATATTCTGATCTAAATCAATCAATCAATCAAACTTTATTCATAAAGTGCCCCACAGACCGCCCCACAGACTCACCCATAAACATGCACGCACGCACACACACACACACACACACACACACACACAGAGGCATATAATGGTGCGTTCAGACCAAACGCGATTTCTGCGGCCAAAGCGGCGGGTCTACATTGACACAACATGGGGGACGCGCGCCAAGGAGCGGCGAGAGATCACGCGGCGCGATTCGCGCGGCCAGAGCGGCGCAAATTTGAGCGTTTCGCGCGGCGAGTTTTAAGATGTCAAGCGTTTTGACGCGCGTTTCGCGCGATTCGTGCTTCCAACGCGGCCGCCGCTAGAGTTGAACAATGTTGAACTTTTTGGGAGAATTCGCGTGTGCCGACCAATCAGGAGCTTTCTCCTACAGTGACGTAGTGACGCATTTCACTACCGGAAAAACACTAGTAGATGACAGCTATGGAGGACACGTCAATTGCTCAGGTCGGTGCTCATTCAGAGCTATATAACACTGCGGACCACAGCTACCGGGACCGAAATAAAAAGAAGCTTGCTTGGAGGAGGGTTAGCGAGGTGGTTGGTGTCTCGGGTAAGTTATTTTAACTTTTCACTGTTGTAAATATTTCCCCGCGAAAAAAACTACTACTTTCCTGCTTACGAGTTGATGTGTTTATTCAGTGGAAGTTTGTAAAAAAGCGGTGGAAGAATCTGAGGGACACATATGCTAAGGAGAGCAGGAAGGAGAAGGAGAAGGTGAAGAAGAGTGGTGCAGAAGCAGGGAAAGGCCAGACGTGGAAGTACCTTGTGGTCATGTCCTTCCTCGAGCCCTACATCACTCCCCGTGACAGCTCCGGGAACATGCCAAGGCGAAGGGCCGAGGAGGAGCAGACCACAGGGTACAACCACCCAGAAGAAGAGCCAGAGGAAGCAGCAGCAGCAGGGCTGTCAGGTGCTGAAGGTCGGTGTCATGCAGCAAACAGAGACCTCGAACAGTTGGAAAAAATACATTTCTTTCCTTTCTATTACCCACATTTTGCTGACTTTTACATTTACAGACAATAGAGTATTACTTTTTTAACAGCCAATTTCAAATTTCATTGCGAAATACACTTCAGAGATATTAGTTTGTAACTGTCGAAATTTGTGCTTGTGTGAGTAATTTCATTGATAACTGCAATGTTCAAGTTAATTGTAACAAACACACAACTTAAAAGTGTTTTACATTTGTTTAACTATGTCTACACACTCTGGCTTTAATACAGATATTATTTGCTCTCTTCATTTTGCTTTTTTGAAATACATGTTCCACTTTTTAACACTGTGATTGCCCTGTGTTCTTTGTTGGCGGCTCTACGGACGTGGGCCTCTTCCGAGCCCTCTTCCTTGGTGGGCCTTCAGAGTGGGAGCGGGAGCTGCTGGAGACTCTACGGACCAAAGCAGCCGGACCGCCCCACTACACAGAAGACCATCAGTTCCTGCTCTCTCTCGTTCCTCTCCTGCAAAGGGTGGCACCAGAGTCAAAAGAATTTGTGAAATTCAAAATGTACCAACTTTTATATGAAAGCAGCACCGTTCTGCTTAATTTGGAACCATTGGCCAGTACAGTTTTTTTTACCTAAGGTGACACCTTTTGCAGGGGAGGAAACAGACATGTGTCCCTTTCCTCTTCCACCACACCTCCTCCAAGCAAGCTCCTTTTCATTTGTTTATATGTACATTTAATTTATTTTTCATTGTTTGTTCCTTTTTTTATAAAGAAAATATTTTTCAAACCTCATGTGTTCTACTTCAAGCCAACCATTACTACCTTTCATATAATATTGACAGAAAATGCTATTCTATATTTGTACATTTACTTTTATAAGAGCTGACTGGGTTTTATAGAAGATGGAATAACTAACACATAAAGAGCGATACAGTAGTTGACAGTATTTTTTATTCATTTCACCTTTTACTGTTTTAACAACCTTGTAATTACGGAAAAGCTCGAATGTGCATATGATTAACCTGAAGTTGGAGTGGAGTCGCAGTGGAGTCTGGCAGTCATTACCTAGAAACAGAAGGTATACAGGTGAATAGAATAGTGAAAATCAATATGGGTTTGGACTATGGCCAGAAAAATGTAAAGAATTTCATATTCAAGAGGCTCAGCACATTATATGTTAGGAATGAAGTTAGGCTCTCTGTATTTTGTGGGTGGCTCTGAAAAGAGCCGTTGTGGGTCAGTCTTGTGGTGGACATGACTACTCTGTGGGCTGCCACGGCAGTGCTCCCTCCTCACTGAAGTGGGCCATGAACACTTTCCTTATGTCCACTGCTGGCTTCCAGACGGCCATCCGCTGCACGCCTGGAAGTGGTTCTTCACCGGCAGCAGCTCCCCTCGGTGCAGGAACCTGCCCATCTCCAGCCATCCTCATGGCTGGAGATGGGCAGGGCGCATTAACTTGCAGCGCAGTGAAAAGGCCTCATCTGCCACGAACACATGGGGCTGGGGTCCTCTGTGGTCAGTTCCAGGTATGCACTGGTCAGGAGGCAGGTCGAGTGTGCCCTCGCGCAGAGCCTCACCAAAGGCAGAGTTGGACACGATGCCTCCATCGCTGGATCTGCCGTACCCTCCCACATCAATGACCCTGAACCTGTACTGGGCATCCACTACAGCCAGGAGCACAAGGGAATGGTGCCCCTTATTATTAAAAAACATGGACCCAGAGTTGGGGGGTGCCTTCACAGCCACATGCTTCCCATCAATGGCCCCACAGCACAGAGGGAACCATCGGACCTCAAAGTCCTGCGCTATGGACCTCCACTCCTCTGCTCCAGGCACAGCCATGAACTCCTCCACGAGGCAGTCCCAGATGGCTGCCACCACATCTGGGATGAGCATGGAGACGGTGGATATGCCCACTCTGAAGCTCCCCGCAATGGTCCTGTAGGAGTCCCCAGTGGCAAGAAACCTGCAATTACAAAATGATATGAACATATTTATCACAATTACATTCATAAAAATCACGTGACAAAACTTGTGTAGCATAAAATACGTTAAACTAGTAGACAGTAAACATCATAGACAGTAATCATAGACACCATATTGTTGCATAATACTGTTTTCTGAGCTATTACATTGTGGATTGTGATTGAAAAATGACACACTTTGTAAGTATTTAGGAATTCTGAATGGGGTAAAAAACACTAACCGCAGACAGATGGACAGGCGCTCTTCAGCTGGAATAGAGCGCCTGTAGTTGGTGTCCTGGTAGGAGATCCTAGCGCCAATGCGGGTCAGTAGGTCGTCAAACTGAGCCAGGGAGAGACAAAAGTACCGCTGAAAGCGACCCTCATCCGAGCGCAGCTCCCGGAGCAAATGGTGAAACTCACCAAACTCCAACCGTCTACGGACTATCTGATGAATCCAGACACGTCGTCGATTCGCCCTTTGACGACGTTGTCTGGCTTTATTTATCAGATAAAGCAACTCCTTCGCTGACATCCATGTTGGGAAGCTACAGGCAAAAGAGACAACAAGCCCCGCCCCTAAACGCTCTCAACGCTCTGTGACAGCGGCTGCCCTCTAGTGTCCTGGCCGCGCGGCCAAGTTTCTCTGTGACAGCGGCTGCCACAATTTGTCACAAGCGGCCCAAGCCGCGCGATAGACGCGATTTGGCCGCAGAAATCGCGTTTGGTCTGAACGCACCATTAAGCAGCAACAGATAGGTAAAATAGGTTAAACAATGAAAAGATATAGGGCTGGGTGCGGATGTATCCAGCTGAAGAAGCGCCATCCAAGGAGCCATCTGCACCAGGAGCAGAGAGTCGCTTGCGGCCACAGCGGACGACACAGGACCCAGAGCAGAAAGGAGGCCCCAGACCCCCCACCAGGCCCAGGATCCAGACCCCCATAGGACCCGGAGGAGAAAGGAGGCCCCGGACCCCTACTAGATCCAAAAGCCAGACCCCCGCAGCCACAGCATACCACCGCTCCCAGTGCAGAGGGCTCCTCCAGAGTAAAGTATGTGAAAGCTCAAACAAAACTACTGTACATGGAATTCATCACATATTATATTTTATTCTAGTGTCAGAGTGAGTCTCTGAATGTCCTTCAGAAAGTTTTTTATCCAGTTTAAGTTAAAGAGTTCTACCACATCATTGGTGTCTTTCCATTCTAATTCAGGTCTCAATAATCATGGGCGACCAAAATTGAGATAGCATCTTTTCACTTGATTTTTGACAAAGCCCTGTCTGTATATCATCTGATTTAGCTTTAGATTATCTACTCTAAATCTTTCAGAGCCCAGAGAGCAGTTTTCCCCCAAAGCTATTGTGACATTAGTGCATTAGTTTGAGCATGAGTAAAGGAGCTGTCAGACATGTGGGACAGGAGCAGCAGGAGGTGACTTCCATGACGAGCAACTGATGAGAGACAGTCGGACTGAGGAAGGGACAGACCAAACAAATACATTTAAAAAGTTCAAATGTTTAAGGCTTAGAAATGAGAGAGGGAAAGAGTGTAAAAAGAAAGTACTGCTTAAAGGTATATATTATTTCCCAAATTTTAGGAACAAACCGCCCTCTCCACTTTTTGAACAAAACTCTCTGGTCTTATTTGACGAGCACGTATCACCAGAATGATTGACAATTAGGAGGACCAATAGTCTTGATGATCCACCCGGAAGTAGAAAAACCCTCCTATATACTGTACCTTTAATCACCTACATTTTTTGGCGGTAGACTCCCGCCTTTGTCAAAGGTGGC